GGGATAAGAGGGTTTGCTGGACGAAGGCGTCATAGCCGAGTCAGTTGAGTTCTTGGGGGGGGGCGAAGAAGAGGATGGTTTGCGAGTGGGATAAGAGGGTTTGCTGGACGAAGGCGTCATAGCCGAGTCAGTTGAGTTCTTGGGGGGGGGCGAAGAAGAGGATGGTTTGCGAGTGGGATAAGAGGGTTTGCTGGACGAAGGCGTCATAGCCGAGTCAGTTGTGTTCTTGGGGGGGGGCGAAGAAGGTTTGCGGGTCGACTTCGGGGCAGACGAAGAAGGTTTGCGGGTTGATTCAGTAGGCAGTTGGCTGGATGAAGGCGTTGTGTTAGATGAAGGAGTCGAACCGGACAATTCAGGGTATGCGATCCTTTGGGCCACATTGCATGTTCCCTTTTCAGTCACCCCTCGCTTCAAGTATATGTACCCTTTGTCGCCCCATTCTGTCCCCCACGAGTTCTTGATCTTGAAGTAATCGTCGTTGTAACCGACGGCAATCACAGCATGATCGGATTGAGCCCCAGGACACTGCGACACGATGCCACTCTTGTAGTTGCGCCACACTTCGTTGGCAGATTGGACGACCACGGTGACGGGCTGGCTTTCCAGAACTGTCATGAGAGAACCCTCGCCAGACGTATACTTGGTTTTACCAATGCTCAGTTTCTTCTTGGTGCAGCTGTTTTCGCAGGTACCGGTTTGACCGCCTTTACCCGACGTGTACGGGTAAGACTCTTCGGTGCATACGCCTTGTTGCACCCAACCAAGGGCTTCGGGAGGGTTCCCGCCATTGCAGCCGTTGTTGCCTCCATTGGTGGAGCAGCTGACCAATTGTTGCTCAGACAAGTCCAAGAGTTCACCAGTGGCAATGCAGTGGGCAGTCTCCACCACCCCGATAGTGGCGAAGGCCCAGCACGACCCACACTGGCCTTGGTTGGGAACAGGGGAGTTGCACTTGGATGTCGACCAGTCCGCTTCAGAAGCGCGCTCATTTGCCAACTCGAGCAAGGGCGCGGCGTTGGTGACATTTTGTCCTGCGAACGACTTCATCAACATGCCCTTGAACTCTTCGTCGGTCATGAGAGCAAACTGGTTGAATGGACTGAACTCGGCCTTCGGATTGGTTCTGGTAGCGCGCTTAACCTCTTGGACAGTGTGGTGGAAGCGCTCGAGTTCATCGATCGAATGGCCATTGACTTGGGCGGATTCCCTATTGGTTCGGGGGAAGAAGCCGTTGGCTCGGGCAATGGAGCCGTACAACTCCTTCCATTTGTCCAGTTGTTGCTCCAACGCGGTTTGATCGGACGAGCTGAGGGATTTGAAAGATTGTCGGGCGGCGGATGCAGTGGTTGCGAGCGCGGTGGAGAGGGCGATACTAGCTTTCATGTTCGTTTGTTGAACGGAATTGAGCAATGACACTTTAGTTGGGGACGGGAAAACTGCATTTCATATCGCTTGAACGTACAAAGTTTGCCGCACCCAAATCAGCATGAGATACTGTACAGTAACAACAGTACTACTATACAGTAAGCTTACGGCACGATGATCACCATATGATAGAGCCCAACGTGGACCTCATTTACAGCTTTCTCATTCTACTACCTCATTGTCCCAAGGGTTCAGGGATTTGATTGTCCTCGATTGTCAATGCGCAGAAAGTTGTGCACTAACTTACACGATGTGCTGTACCCGTATCCTTCCGTACACATTTGCGCAAGAAAATAGAAAATCAAATTTTTGCTCCCTCGGTTCTTGGACAATGGACGAGCAAGGGACATCGAATTGTGTATGTGCCGGGGCTGGAGTTGCCGTCAACCAGTACTGTATATGTAGCCTGCGGGTGCATGCGAGCTTTGGTAAGAAAGTTGCAGTACTGTAACGGCACGCCATATGGTGGTGCAAATTTCAAGTCTTCGTCCAGTATCGCCAAAGTAACAACTTCGTAGCAAAGTATGTTCCAGTCTCTGTTCTACGTACAGAGACTGGACCAGTAGTGCTGTACTGTACATAAATCATTTCCTTTTTTGGATACTACTAGTACAGTGCTTTGCGGAGAAACTCGGTCGGGGCAATTGTTCAAAAATAATACTTTGAAGTATATTAATCACAATTGTGGCGAGGTGGAGTCTCCGTACTTGTTTGGCCAATTATCGAAATGTTTTCTATAGCCAATAGAAAACATATTTGTCTCTGATTGGCTCATCACATAATCTACCATCACTCCTGATGTATAGTGTGATTCATGCCGTCATCATCCCATCAAAGTGACCAATACATGTTCCAAACACATGAACCATCATCGTGTGTACAACTAACTACTGTACATAGTACGCTGGAATAAGTTCTTCAAGTACTACGTAGTCTAAGTGCCATTATTCTGCTTTTGCTATAACATTAGCGGGACAAAATCACAATTCGATTGTATGTTCACTTTGTACCCACTCTGAATGGTAACCGAAGTTCATTACAGAATAAGCCAATCAAAGTACGAAACTGCAATTCAAGGTATTGGTGGATAAAAAGAAACAAGACTAATAATACACTGCGCTGGTGTTTGCGTCGCATTATACTTTCGCTTTGTTGACTTGTTAGTGGAATTCGCAAGGTGAGCGAGCCACCTTGCTACTTTCCATCACACCTTGTTTCTTACACATGATTGGCTATAACGCTGGCAGAAGAGGTGACAAGTTTGAACTGTTTGGACGCTTGAATTTTGTAGAGCTATGTATGATGCTCCGGAGAATTATGCACTAATGAGTTCACCCAGACTGACTTATGACGTATGTGCCAATTTAGGTCGTACGAAAATGCACCAATCATACAGTGAACCTCTGAGTTTCTATTCACAATTACATACAAAAAGAAGGTTAAAATATACGACTTATATTGGCACTCAAAATTATAGAGGTACCGCGTCTATAACGGTTTCCAAGGACCCCACCCCTTGTCCAAGACATCAAAATTCATTGGTACCTACTCCGGGGTAAGTTATTTTATCGAGTACATGTGATCTGTGGATTGGAGACTGTTTAAGGAAAATGGCAATATAATGGCCTTTTTCCTGTTGGAAAGCTACAAGTCTCCCCGTTTCGCATTGTACATCATGAACAGCAACATCTTCTATATTTAGATCCTTCTCTATTTCTTAATTGCAAACGATAGAAGTAACAACTAATATTTTCTCTTGTGTACTACATCGGCTGCATGTCGCCGGACTCGCTCGTCTTCGCCGCAGACTTCCAATAGATTTTGAGCACACAATGGATATTTGCGGTACTGGTACCTAAACTGTCAATTTATAACTCGCCACCACCGTCACCAAGCCCAGCAATTACTTCTACTTCACATATACCAGTGATGAACCACGAACATATAATGGCCGGTGTTCTCAGGCAAAGAAGTCTATCAAGGAAAACTCGGTCACAACTTTGCGACATGGTTCAAGCAATTTGGCAGTATCATTGCAAAAAACCGACGTCACGTTCTATGGCAGTATAGGGACGGATGGCCTACAGTAACCACGCCATGAAACTGCGAAGCTACCTTCGTCGCGGAGAACGAAGACAATTGGTGCGAATAAGGTGGACGTGATTACGGATTCGATTTCGTCGTCCACAAACTCAACCAAGACTACGAACGCAGGCCACCTTTCGTCAGACCAACTCATCGACCGAATGACAATGGAAAAATGCCACGCACACAGTTGGGGAGAAAGTCACACGCGCAGTACACCGGCAAAAGCTGCCGGTGTGTCCAATGCACTGATTGCACGTATCACCCACCTACTGTAGAAAAGGATGACCAGGTACGCGAGTGTGTTTGTTCAGACATTGATCCGACTTGCCGGAACTTGCGTCAACTAAATTGCCGCCGCAGCCCCCTTCACAAGGAATCAAAGCCAGGGCCAACTTCGCAACCAGCGCGAGGCGACCGAAAGAGAGCCAGAATGGATCGCAAACAACCATCCAACCGGGAAAACCTGCCACTTTTGCCACGCACGCACGATGAAAGTGACTGCCGCAAGAAGCATCCTCACAACCAGCGGCAAAGGCAAGTGTTGCCAATGGCCATATGTGATCATAGGTGCAACCCTCTTCCGCAGTGGTGAACGAACGTGGCTCACGAACGTACACCCATGACCGAATTAGGGTCGATGTGGTTCGTGGTGCCACCAAAACGCATCTTGGACCCTGATTGCACCCAAAGGGGATCCGTCCACCTCCTGCTCGCCAATGGCCGCACAGTGACCCGCCGACACATATCACGTCCCAAATCTAAGGAGGTGAACCTGATATCAGTAACCCAACTAATGGGACAAGGGAATGAACGTTACCTTTTCTGGTGATTCAAGTCGTTCACACAATGACCACGTCATCGCAACACTGCCTGCCTTGAAAATATACTCTGGGTATCTAATGTTTTTGGCGGATGTTGAACCAGAGCTCGACCTTGCTGACTATCGATCGAACGCGCAACCAAGGCCACCCAAGCCGACAATGACGTCTTACAATGTGGCCAAGACTTTTCTCGTCGAGAGAGCCTCGAACTGACACGAGCGGCTCGGTCATCTAAACAAAGCAGCCATTCTCGAGATGGCCGGTGCGTGCACACAAGATGAAATGAAAATAACAAGAGAATGACCTCAAGGTACCTTGTCTTGGCTGCGCCGTCGGGAAACAAACGCGCTCGAAGCCGCAGCAAGCCGTCGGTGCATGAAGTCGGCACCGTCATCTCCGCCGATCTGACAGGCAAAATCAAGCCTCAAGATAGACATGGGAACAAATACCTTGCGGTGTTCGTCAACAACGACAGCGGCTACGTGGGCCTGCTGAAAAAGAAAAGCCGCGTTAAGCAGTTCTACGCCACGTTTGAGCGCGAGTTCGATATCAAGGTCAAGGTGCTACGGTCCGACGGCGGAGGTTAGTACACGCATTAGACAAGTACCTGAAGGAACATGGTATCCGCCACCAAACAACGCAAGGGCACACATCCGCCAGCAACGGTCGCACCGAGCGGATGATCCAGGCAATCATGGATGCAATGCGGGTCCATGATCAGCACTGCCGCCGAAGTTCTGGTTCCATGCGGCGCTGTACGCAGCGCATATTCGGAACCGCGCACCAACCCACTCAAACACTGACGGCTGCTCGAGGTTCTAACAAACAAGACATAGAAGGTCAGCCATATACTCGCCTTCGGCAGCCGTTGTACCGTGCACATGCCACCATCACACCGCGGCATTGCCAAGCGCGCCGAGGCTGGAATCATCCTCGGCCTTGATCCGACAACCAAGGCATATTAGGTGTGGATTCCCCGCTTCGCCAAGGTTGTGTCCACGCGCGACGTTTGCACACCTGTCCCCGCCACATGTTCACCTGTTGGTGAATTTGAAAATGACCAAATGTCATTCGAAAGAGGAAGTTTAAAGTTCCCAACTCGGCCTGCGATTGGGCAGCCTCAAGATGTTCGAACTTCGGTTACATCGCCGGTTTGGACGACCCGACGGCGTTCCAACACCGATGCAGACAGCGGCGGCTTCACCCTGTTGGCCACCATCACCAAGGACCCGACATTCAGATCAGGGCGATTTAATCATATACTACTAGTATACGTATACCGGAAGCAAAATAAAATGCGGAGGTTTTGACAGTCTCCCACTCCCCCCCAAATGGCCGATATTGGACATCAAAACAGTCGACCTCGGTGTTTACTGTTAGCTAGGGTATCGGGGTCCGTCGAAGTCCACCTCGTAGCACATACTAGTAACGTAGAAAACCAGTTTAAGATACCGGTAACTTAACCAATTTAGGATAACGTTGTATTGCCCAATCACACCTCGTTATTTGTTCGAGTCAAAACCTCTGTCATATAATGCTGACCATTCCATCACGTGAATGAAATGCAAAAACGGCATAGAAACCATTGGTAACAGTCATTCAAGATTGGGTTTGAAGTACCCTAGTCGACACGGGCCACATTGGGTTGGATCTGAGGTTTTGTCGAATGCTAAACTCGGTGGACATCCATCCACAACAGAAATATAGCTCTATAAAACAGTACACTCGTTGTAACACCCAAAACACAGAATTTCAATGCTCCGACACATACATACTTTAAGATAAAAAAGTTATCCTAACTGTAAATTGGTTATCAAAATGTAAGTACAAATGCTTAGAAACTAACAAATTTACATGTGAAGTTCTTCGTCTAAATCGATTATGAAGTGAAAGCGGTTCGTACCGGACTCAAAAAGTTATGTTCATCTATCTACTCCGACGCCTCCACAAAAGTTATCTTAAATTGGTTTTTTACGTT